ACCAAGGTCCCATAACTAGCGTTCCTTTGGTGAGAAAAGATTGTTTTAATAAGATTTTATCATTAAAATGATTGATTTAGTATTTTTAGCATTAATAGATATTTCCGTTTCTAGAGAGTTGCAAACATAATTGTAATTCCAAAGTTTGAAAATGTATTTCTAACATTCTGAGCATTTAATATAGATTTTTGTTTTAAATTGAAACATTCTTTCAATAAAACAATACCCATAGATTCACGTTATCTATCATATGAAACAGGAATGATGAGACTTTTTCCAAAGGAGAAGCCAATTAACAATCTGAAATCACAATGGTGTGTTCTAAAGGGAAATCCAAAAGGCTAGTTTTTTTTAAATATATTTTTTTAAATTTTTTGTTGTTGATGATGGACCTTTATTTTATTTATTTATTTATATGTGGTGCTAAAAATTGAACCCAGTGCCTCACACATGCTGGGCAAGTGCTCTACCACTGAACTACCACCCCAGCCCGAGGCTAATTTATTCTTTGTTTCTCTAAAGACAGTTAAGACACCAGGCAAACAGGACATGGTCATGCTCTCCTCCAATGGCTAAGAATTAAACAGGACTCCTTTAGATGCAAGTAGCACAAACCCATTGCTGAGTGACTTAAGCAAAAAAAGAAGACGAGAGAGAGAGAGAGAGAGAATATAATGATGTATGTTGTAACTAAAACATTCAGAAGTTATTTTCAGCAATTTCACTCCTGGGTATAGTCCCAGATGTGCATGAAGATGTCAATAGCAGTGTTGTGTTTTCTAACAGGGAGCTTGAGTCAACCTGGAGCCCTAGGCAGTCAGGCCAATAAGTTATACACAGTAATGAGGTGAGAACTTCAAAACACATTACTGGGTTAAAAACAAAAGAAAAAAGAATCTTAGTGAAATCTGTAATCCAATGCCATTTACACTTAAAAACATAGACATGCACAAAATAATGCCAAAATATGCTCTTCAGTGTGTATGTATCTTTGAAAGATATATAAATCCATTAAAGTAGGTGTCTATGGTGGATGGAGAATGAAAGAGTGGTTAAGGGATGAAGGGAAGCAATAATTTTCAAAATAAGAAGTGTCTTTTACAAGCTAATATTTATATAGGCCAAGAACTGAGAAATAAGAATTAGCTTCATGCATCACTTGGAGAATGAACAATAGGTTACTGAATGATCAATGGGTTATAGAAGACATCAAGGAGGAAATTAAAAAATTCTTAGAGATAAATGAAAACACAGACACAACATATTGGAATCTATGGGACACATTGAAAGCAGTTCTAAGAGGAAAATTCATTGCTTGGAGTTCATTCCTTAAAAAAAGAAAAAACCAACAAATAAATGATCTCATATTTCATCTCAAAATCCTAGAAAAAGAAGAGCAAAACAACAGCAAAAGAAGTAGAAGGCAAGAAATAATTAAAATCAGAGCTGAAATTAATGACATCGAAACAAAAGAAACAATTGAAAAAATTGACAAAACTAAAAGTTGGTTCTTTGAAAAAATAAACAAAATCGACAGACCCTTAGCCATGCTAGCGAAGAGAAGAAGAGAGAGAACTCAAATTACTAGCATACGGGATGAAAAAGGCAATATCACAACAGACACTTCAGAAATACAGAAGATAATCAAAAATTATTTTGAATCCTTATACTCCAATAAATTAGAAGATAGTGAAAGCATCGATAAATTTCTTAAGTCATATGATCTGCCCAGATTGAGTCAGGAGGATATAGACAACCTAAACAGACCAATATCAATTGAGGAAATAGAAGAAACCATCAAAAGACTACCAACTAAGAAAAGCCCAGGACCGGATGGGTATACAGCAGAGTTTTACAAAACCTTTAAAGAGGAACTAATACCAATACTTTTCAAGCTACTTCGGGAAATAGAAAAAGAGGGAGAACTTCCAAATTCATTCTACGAGGCCAACATCACCCTGATACCTAAACCAGACAAAGACACTTCAAAGAAAGAAAACTACAGACCAATATCTCTAATGAACCTAGATGCAAAAATCCTCAATAAAATTCTGGCCACTCGGATACAAAAACTTATCAAAAAAATTGTGCACCATGATCAAGTAGGATTCATCCCTGGGATGCAAGGCTGGTTTAATATACGGAAATCAATAAATGTTATTCACCACATCAATAGACTTAAAAATAAGAACCACATGATCATCTCGATAGATGCGGAAAAAGCATTCGACAAAGTACAGCATCCCTTTATGTTCAAAACTCTCGAAAAACTAGGGATAACAGGAACATACCTCAATATTGTAAAAGCAATCTATGCTAAGCCTCAGGCTAGCATCATTCTGAATGGAGAAAAATTGAAGGCATTCCCTCTAAAATCTGGAACAAGACAGGGATGCCCTCTCTCACCACTTCTGTTCAACATAGTTCTCGAAACACTGGCCAGAGCAATTAGACGAAAGAAATTAAAGGCATCAAAATAGGAAAAGAAGAACTTAAATTATCACTATTTGCAGATGACATGATTCTATACCTAGCAGACCCAAAAGGGTCTACAAAGAAACTATTAGAGCTAATAAATGAATTCAGCAAAGTGGCAGGATATAAAATCAACACGCATAAATCAAAGGCATTCCTGTATATCAGCGACAAATCCTCTGAAATGGAAATGAGGACAACCACTCCATTCACAATATCTTCAAAAAAAATAAAATACTTGGGAATCAACCTAACAAAAGAGGTGAAAGACTTATACAATGAAAACTACAGAACCCTAAAGAGAGAAATAGAAGAAGATCTTAGAAGATGGAAAAATATACCCTGTTCATGGATAGGCAGAACTAACATCATCAAAATGGCGATATTACCAAAAGTTCTCTATAGGTTTAATGCAATGCCAATCAAAATCCCAACGGCATTTCTTGTAGAAATAGAGAAAGCAATCATGAAATTCATATGGAAAAATAAAAGACCCAGAATAGCAAAAACAATGCTAAGCAGGAAGTGTGAATCAGGCGGTATAGCGATACCAGACTTCAAACTATACTACAGAGCAATAGTAACAAAAACAGCATGGTACTGGTACCAAAACAGGCGGGTGGACCAATGGTACAGAATAGAGGACACAGAAACCAATCCACAAAACTACAACTACCTTATATTTGATAAAGGGGCTAAAAGCATGCAATGGAGGAAGGATAGCATCTTCAACAAATGGTGCTGGGAAAACTGGAAATCCATATGCAACAAAATGAAACTGAATCCCTTTCTCTCGCCATGCACAAAAGTGAATTCAAAATGGATCAAGGAGCTTGATATCAAATCAGAGACACGCCGTCTGATAGAAGAAAAAGTTGGCTACGATCTACATACTGTGGGGTTGGGCTCCAAATTCCTCAATAGGACACCCATAGCACAAAAGTTAATAACTAGAATCAACAAATGGGACTTACTCAAACTAAAAAGTTTTTTCTCAGCAAAAGATACAATAAGAGAGGTAAATAGAGAGCCTACATCCTGGGAACAAATCTTTACTCCTCACACTTCAGATAGAGCCCTAATATCCAGAGTATACAAAGAACTCAAAAAATTAGACAATAAGAGAACAAACAACCCAATCAACAAATGGGCCAAGGACCTGAACAGACACTTCTCAGAGGAGGACATACAGTCAATCAACAAGTACATGAAAAAATGCTCACCATCTCTAGCAGTCAGAGAAATGCAAATCAAAACCACCCTAAGATACCATCTCACTCCAGTAAGATTAGCAGCCATTATGAAGTCAAACAACGACAAGTGCTGGCGAGGATGTGGGGAAAAGGGTACATTTGTACATTGCTGGTGGGACTGCAAATTGGTGCAGCCAATTTGGAAAGCAGTATGGAGATTTCTTGGAAAGCTGGGAATGGAGCCACCATTTGACCCAGCTATTCCCCTTCTTGGTCTATTCCCTAAAGACCTAAAAAGAGCATGCTACAGGGACACTGCTACATCGATGTTCATAGCAGCACAATTCACAATAGCAAGACTGTGGAACCAACCTAGATGCCCTTCAATAGATGAATGGATAAAAAAAAATGTGGCATTTATACACAATGGAGTATTACTCTGCATTAAAAAATGACAAAATCATAGAATTTGCAGGGAAATGGATGGCATTAGAGCAGATTATGCTAAGTGAAGCTAGCCAATCCCTAAAAAACAAATGCCAAATGTCTTCTTTGATATAAGGAGAGTAACTAAGAACAGAGTAGGGTCGAAGAGCATGAGAAGAAGATTAACATTAAACAGGGATGAGAGGTGGGAGGGAAAGGGAGAGTGAAGGGAAATTGCATGGAAATGGAAGGAGACCCTCAGGGTTATACAAAATTACATACAAGAGGAAGTGAGGGGAAAGGGAAAAATAATACAAGGGGGAGAAATGAAGGACAGTAGAGGGGGTAGAGAGAGAAGAGGGGAGGGGAGGGGAGGGGAGGGGGGATAGTAGAGGATAGGAAAGGCAGCAGAACACAACAGACACTAGTATGGCAATATGTAAATCAATGGATGTGTAACTGATGTGATTCTGCAATCTGTATATGGGGTAAAAATGGGAGTTCATAACCCACTTGAATCAAAGTGTGAAATATGATATGTCAAGAACTATGTAATGTTTTGAACAACCAATAATAAAAAATAAAAATAAAAAAAAGAAGTGGATAGTAAAAAAAAAAAAGAATTAGCTTCATGTGCTGAAGCCCCAAGAATTTACAAAAAAAAAAAAAATCCATTTTTGTTTTTGTTTGTTTAATTTTGTTTTGTTTTTTAACGGGGCTGGGGGGACTACAGCCAGCATCTCACTGGGGGGGGTTCTTTTTTCCTGCCAAGGAGGGTGTAAGCCACCTGAAAACTTAAAGTCTCAAATAATTAGTGAAGAACAAAACACAAATAGAAATATATTTACAAAAAGCAGAGCCCCTGATAGATCTAGTCCACACGATTGCTAGAACTAGACAGAGAAATGATGGCTCTGGTGGTTTATTTAAGGGGGTACATCAAAGGCAGGGATAAGGTTTCAAGGGCAGAGTCTTGCTTCCTGATGTCTTGCAGTCAGCAACTTGATTGGCATCTTGGCATGTATCACCCATCTCAGGTGCTGCATGGGACACGGCAGAGCAGGACAGAAATTCACACTGTCAATTGACCAGAGAAATTGTCCACTGGTCATTCCCAGACACCAGATGTTTCTATCCACTAGGCTTTGATGCATGGTGACCCACACGCAACGCATGGATGGCTCATGACAGTTTTTGTTGTTGCTTTTTTTTTGTTTTTCCATCTAACAGTGTGATTGGGAATCAGGTGGTCTCCATCTCTGCCTCTTGACTCACTTCTCTCGAGACTCTGGCTCCAGTCCCAGCTCTCTCCGCTTGGAAACAAAGATAATCCTGGAAGCAACAGGTGCACATGATATTTACAGTTCATGATCTCAACATGAGAAAGACTTGCAAAATTCCTACCCTTTTCTGGACAAGGACACTGGGTGGCCTTGCTTGAGTTGTGTGCCCACCTCCAGACCTATCAGAATCACCTGGAAAAAGGTTATTCTAAGTAGTCAGCTTGCTCATGCTTTTGACAGGGGGGAGGTAAGGCCTTTGATTGGCAGCCCCACTAGTGGATGCCACTCTCCATAACAGGAAAGTCCTCTAGCATAATTCTAGAATCCAAAGAAGCCCTAAGGAGTCCAAATTCAGAGACAGCATAACTCAGACAAAATGTATTTATTAATTGGGCTTGACTTCAAAGCATGTAACCAGGAAATGGCTTTGTTTTATATTTCTCCTGTTCTTATTCTTCAGAACTTTTCTATCTGACCTTCTTTTCCTAACTCCAACCAACATTTTGATCAAACTGCATAACTTCTCCGTGCTTTTCACTTTTATGGCAATCTTATTTGAAAGTATTATACAAATTAAATATTCTTTAATATCTGAACTCCATTTCTTCCTCTTCTTTGGATCTACCTCCTATACTATAGGTCAAGCCTACTGGGTCCTACTAGCATGCAATGGGGAATTGAAGTACAGTCCTCATCCTGGCCACACCCAATCACTCTGTTATTTCTTGTTCCTCCCCATTCAAGGAAGAGAAAGGAAAGAAGAAGTAAAGAAGTCAAAAGATCTTCATTATTTAGCCATTGGTATCCTCTGTGGGAAAGGCCTTCAAATGGCAGCTGACTTCTCTTTTGTAGGGAACTTACATATATTCTTTAGAAAAACACTTGGCCCCCTGGGAATCTCCAACACTTTTCTGTTCCTTCAGGGAAACTGTATACTTTCATGTTAACCTCTAATAATTTTCCCATCCTTTGTTCAGAAGACAATCCCCCACCCAGTATTCTTGAGCCGGGTCTTTCAAGATGGTTACACCTCCTGTAATATCCTCCCTAGTCATAGAAAACCACAGGCAATACCCTGCTCACCTTGGAGCTGCACCTCATTGAACTATATCCTCCTCTACTCTCTCTCCTCTAAGGGGCAGCTCCAGCCATCCCCATGTCTAGGCAAAAAGCAGATGCAATACTCTGTGCTCACAAAATTCAAACAAAGATCATATTCACCCAAGACCACATTCACCCAAGACCACACAAAAAACAAACATGTCCATGGTTGTTCCTGGCAGCATTCTTCATAATAGTCCTGTGTTAGTCAGCTTCCCATTAACACACACACACACAAAAAAAATACCTGAGATAATTGACTTATAAAAGAAAAGATATATTTAGCTCGTTGTTTTGGAGCTTTCAGTCCATGATCCAGTAACCCCATTGCTTTGGGACTCTGGCGCTGGCATCCGATGGCAATGAAAGGAAGTGCATGGTGAAACAAAAAACTTCTTACATCAAGAGCCAGGAAGCAGCAAAAATACAAGAGAAAGAGACTGGGGTCCTACAATCCCCTTCAAAGTCACACCCCATTGACCTAAGGATCTCTTACTGGGCACCTTCACCTTCTGAAGATTTCACTGTTTTCCAATAGTGCCACATTTTAAAATGTGGCCCTATTTAGGAATACTTATCCAAACCATAGCAAGTTTCATACAATGAAAAATTACTCAATCATAAAAAGGAGTGGTGTACTAATAGACGCTGTAGCATGGATGAACCTTGATAACATTTTAATGGAAAGAAGTCAGACATAAAAGTCCACCCCCAGAGTGTATGACTCCATTCAAGTGAAATGTTGAGAACAGGCAAATCCCAGAGACAGAAAGCAGATTGATGTTTTCCAGTGACTGAAAAAAGGAGAGATGGGGAATAACTAGCAATGAACATAGAGTTTCTTTGAGGGGTGATAAAAATGTTTAAAATTAGTTGCAGAACTCCATGAGTATACACAAAATCACTGAATGCTTTAAAAGAATGAATTTGACAATATGTGAATTATATCTTATAAACCTGTTATTTTAAAACAAAAATTCCTCCAAGAAACGCAAATCAAAACTACTCTAAGATTTCATCTCACTCCAGTCAGAATGGCAATTATCAAAAATACAAGGAACAATAAATGTTGATGAGGATGTGGGGAAAAGGTATACTCATACATTGCTAGTGGGACACAATTTGTTGCAAACACTCTGGAAAAGAGTATGGCGATTCCTCAGAAAACTTAGAATGGAACCACCATTTGACTCATTTATCCCACTCCTCAGTTTACCCAAAGGACTTAAAATCAGCACACAACAGTGATTTAGCTGCATCCATGTTAATAGCAGCTCAATTGGCAAGAACCAAGCTATGCAACCAACCCAGGTACCCTACAACAGATAAATGGATAAAGAAAATGTGGGACATATACACAATTGAATATTACTCAGCTTTAAAGAATAAATTATGGAATTTGCCAGTAAATGGATGGAGCTGGAGAATATCATGCTAAACTAAATAAGCCAATCCCAAAAAACCAAAGGCTAAATATTTTCTCTGATATGCAGATGCTAATACACAACAAGGGGTGGGGGTTAGGGAAGAATAGAAGTATTTTGGATTAGGCAGAAGGGAGTGAAAGATGGAGAGAGGGTATGGGGGTAAAAAGGATAGTAGAGTGAATTGGACATTAATACCCTATGTGCATATATGACTATACAACCAGTATTATCCTACATCATGTACAAACAGAAGAATTGAGAAGTTATACTCCATTTATGTATGATGTGTTAGAATGCATTCTATTGTCATGTATAACTAATTAGGATAGATAGATAGATAGATAGATAGATAGATAGATAGATAGATAGATAGATAGATAATTCCTCCAAGAACTGTTATTTAACTGTTACTAACTGTTATTGTGGGAAAGAAAGAAAGGACTGCAAGTCATAGGAACAGTTCTGGATGCCTCTTAGCAAGTCCTGATATTGGTCTAGTTCCATAGAATGTGAAGAAGTTCGTCCTCAACTGGGCTCTGCTTTGGAGCCGTAATCTGAGGACACAGGGAATTCCCATCTAGCAATTTTACATTGGGTTCTACTCTCAGCTTCTATGTGTATCCAAGATGCTTATGGTATCCTCACCAACCTCCATATGGGATATGCATGGTCAAAATGTTCAGTAGAGGTAGAAATCCTTTTCCACACAGCTACAGAAAACTACTAAAAACTACCCTGCTTTCCACTCTTAGAAATTAAGAAAGTATATCACTAACTATCACCGTTCAAGGTACTACATGAAGCCCTACACACAGAGAGATCATTGCTTATTTTGCTTATCTTGTAGCAACATGCAATTATTTCCACTGTTGATGACTATAAGAATTGTCATTATAGTTTCAGGAAGATATGCTTTATTCACTCACAAGTTTATTGAGGGCCCACCATTACTGGGATCTCTGATGACAAGGGTGAATAGCTCCACTCCATTTTGCCATCAATGAAGTGGTGTTCCAATGACTTTGCCATGCCCCAACTGGTGATCAAAGGAAACATTGGGGAATAGAAGTATGGCTCTAAGATAGAGAACTTTGCTAGCATGTGCAAGGCTCCGGGTTCAATCCCAGTACTGCAAAAGAAAAGAAAAGATGATAAGTTAGCAGACACCAATGATGTAATATATATAATCAGCAGAAGCAGCTAAGCTATTAAACATATAATAACACACAGGTTATTATATGTATACACACGCACACACACACCACACACCATGAGTGCTAGAATTCAAATTCTTTCCAGAGTATATATTGAAAAGCATATACTCTTGCTGTCAAACTTTTTTCTGACTCACTGTTATTGCCATTACATTGTAACTAACACAGTAAGAGGGAAAAAATTTTCCCTCTTCTCAAAATATTATAGAAAATCTTAAGATTAATAATAAATCTATTGTTTTTTCAAAAGGCATTTCACAGTTTTGCATTTACAGAAGTAGTTATACATTATGGGTGAATTCTAATGGTTACCGCATTACTATTCACCAGCATCTGGAGAAGCTGTGCCATTCATATCCAGTTTGTTTCTCTCTTAAAATGTGATCCTCAGCACCACATAAAAATAAATAGATAGATAGATAGATAGATAGATAGATAGATAGATAGATAGATAAAGGTATTATGTCGATCTACAAATAAATGTTTTTAAAAAGAAGAGAAAATCCCCAAGTAGCAAACTTTAATTCCTATGATTCCTCCAAATTTTCATTGAACTTGACCAAAAGCTGTTCCAAGTGGGACATACCACCTCACTCAACCTAGAAAGAATATCCATTACTTCGAGCAAATAATCTCCTCCTATATGTCCAGTTCCCTGGTTATCCCAGCTCAGCAACACCCCTTACTTCAGAATTGCTGGGCCTTAGCTATTGGCCCAAAGGAGTCCTTGGATGTGTGTGTGTGTGTGTGTATGTGTGTCCCTCAGATGCCCTCTGCATTTTTTTTTCTTGCTCTTCCTAAAATTTCCTCTGTGCCATTTTTTCCTCATCTGTAAAACAGAAAGAATTACAGTTCTGCCTACCTCAGAGGGCTGTCATGAACACTGAGATGACATGTGAATGTGCATTAAACCCTTGCAAATGTCACATGCCATTTAAAGTGAAAATTATTTCAATCAAGAAAATAAATGCATACCATAAAAATGGATAACAAAATAATTTACAAATGAGAAATACTCTGCAGATGACTTCCAGCACTTATAATTAAGCTCTCAATTAAATCTAAGTACCAAATAGAACTGGAGGGAAAATAAGATCATCTTGCATGCATGGGACTAAAAGAAATCAGCATGTGCCTAATGAAAATTAGGCAGCTACATGGGGCCTAAAGAAAATTAGGTTGTGTTGCTAAAAGCAGGGGATTTTACTATGCCCTTTAATTCCCTTCCACTACTGACTTACTTTCATGACAGCCTCATCAGTAACGGAGCTTTACGTTATTAATTGTAATGAAGATGATTGGATTTTATTATTCAGGAAGAAAGTGGCCTTGCTCAACAGAAATAAGTTCAAGGAAAGAGAAATTCATTGGTCTGATATTTAAACTACATTCAAGTTTTGGAAAATTCTTAGAAGCAAAAATGGGAACAGGAGAAGCATAAAGGGAAGCCATGGCTTCCTGAAATATTTAACCTACGTGCAAACACCAAGAATGAAAGATATGTAGAAAAAAACCAAAGTTAAAAAAGAATAGACCCACAATATTATGACTTCCTTAGAGTAATTTAACAGCAGAGGGGAAACACGTATGACTGGTTGGGGAAGACTGGTTATTCAGGGAAATAAATTAGAAAAGGAATTTTTGTAACTTGTGCATTAAGAAGAGAAAATTGGGCTGGGGCTCAGTGGTAGAGTGCTTGCCTAGCACATGTGAGGCCCTGGATTCGATCCTCAGCACCACATAAAAATAAATAAATAAATAAAATAAAGGTATTGTGTCCATCAACAACTAAAAACTTTTAAAAAAAGAAGAAGAGAAAATCCCCATGTAGCAAACTTTATATACAGCAACTCTTCCTAACCACACTAAGCATAATTATTTATTACAGCTAACTTCTAATACACATACTCAAAACTTCCTTTGAACCAAAAGCTAAACTAGTCAACTAAACTAGGTCATTTCATGAATAACACAGAGAATGTCTGCCTCAGCCCTTCTCCCTGGCCTCCTTCCTTCTGTCAGTAGGGAAGATTGAGTAAGTGGTAGCAGAACAGGCCACAGTGAGATGATAAGACGGAGACTAAACACCTGCCCTGGGGGCCAGGCAGACACTTGGGGAAAAGGCAATTACAAGAGTCCAGACAGGTGGGCAGGGCAATAGTGTCAGGAAAATTAAAATAAAAGGCAGGTGGTTGATTGAACAGGTGGAAGAAGAACAGCAATGGGAGTCTTAGGGTAGGCAATACACAAGAATTCAGACAGCGAGGGCTGGTGGTTGATAGCTGGAACCCTGTTTGTAGAATAGATTTCAAGGGCAGATCAGCAAGATCAAGATAGACCCTCTACTCCAGGAGAACTAAGGGCTTGACCAGAAATGGAGGTAGAGACTAAGGATGAAAGAAAAAGGACAAAGTCCCAGTTACCACTATGAAGATACAAGGTAGCAGTTTGGTCCAAGAAAAAGGCCAAAGACCCATTACTGGAAATAAGATACAAAATCAAGACAGGCAGGCCTGCATTAAGGCTGCATGATGTGGAACAACCAAACTCTGGCTCTGAACCAACTTCTTTTCCTTTTTGTATTTTCCTGAATTAAAAGAGTCTGCAAACCTGGGACAGAACTGAGGGAAAACAAAGTTTGATCTTGCTAATTGGACTCTAGGTCTTATAAAACTCTGTATATCTCTACTGTTATATCTATTTATCTAACACATACATATATATAATTTACTATGTTTCAGGCATTCTCCTGCATATGTCTAAATATTAACTCCTTTAACAAGCCTATGAGGTCAGTATGGCGATAACCACCCTTTTGGCAAATAATTAAACTAGGCACAGAGAAGTTAAGTAACTTGTCCAACGTCACAGGACCGGTAAATGACGGAGCAAGAATTTAAACCCAAGTTTCAGTTTTAAAGTCCATATTTCTAACTGCCCCACACCACATTGCTTCATCATGATCTGTTTCTCTTTCCTTCTAGAATCTAAGATATGGTTCCTGCTCTCCAGGATTTCAGTACCTTTGTATCCCCAGTGCCTAAGGCAATGCCTGGATCATAGTGAGCCTTAATAAATACCCTGAGGATGAATGAATGAATGAACAAATGAATGAATATGTGCCTGGCATATTAAAGGCACAAATAGCAAAGACTGTAAGGCCCTTGACAGAAGAAAACATGATCTACAAGATTGTGGGGCAGAAGGCGGCCAGGATCCAAGAGGGAGTCACCAGTGGAACTACACGGGGGAGGTCCAAGGGATATGGCTCATACCAGAAGCTGTGGATCAGCAGTTTAAAAAAGTAGCTGAGGTCAGAGGAGCTTGGACATAGGAAATGGTTGTACAATGATCTGCTACTTGTAAACGCCCCACCTCCCACTTGCTCTGTGATATTTTATGTTCCACCCCACACCTACGAGAATGTATGGATTTGGGCAACCACAATTTACATGCGGAAATGACTGTTCCCATAGATCACTGTCAGTCATCTTATGCAATTGGCACACAACCACCTCTGGATAAGAGTCAACTTGATAAGCACAGCTTGCATTCCAACTATCAAAAGGAGAAAGTGATAGTAAATGTAAAACCAACCTGCCTAATCACATAAAGCCAGAGGTCACTTCTGAGGAAAGTCGTCATAAATGTTTGAGCATTTAATGGCCCCTTTTTTTCAATCGTACACAAATATAGACACACCTAAGTGTTAAGGTGGACAGAAGACACATCCACACATTTCTCATTCTCTTATAAATCCTTCCCCATCAAAAGCCTCAAATCAGACAAGTCAGTTGGTAGCAGTGATAATTTCAAGATAAGGAGAAAATAAAAATAAAAATAGCTAAGGTTTATTGAGCCCTTCTTGATACTAGGTGTTATTCTAAGTGCCTCATATATATTAACTTATTGAAATCTTACAACAACCCCCTTTTATATCCCTTGTACCTCTCCCGTGCAGTTCCACTAGTCAAAGAAAGAGAAATAGAGAATTTAGGCAATTGGTCCAAGGTCACTTGCCAAATGGTGAGTAGAAGGGTTCACACTCTAGCCGGTTTGTCTTTTGAGCCTGTGCTTAGAACCATGACTCTATGGACCATCCACTCTGAATACTGAAAATATTGTAATGACTGGAATGTAGAACTTACTCCCAACAGCAATGCCCAGCTCATTTTCATTCATGTTTTGGAGCCTCTGAACTATATACATGCTCATGACATAATCACCCAGAATGTTTATCCTGTTGGTTTAGTAGATGTAAAGAAGGTAAGAATCTCAAAAAGCTTCCTACAGAAGCACAGGAGAGTCTCAGGAAAGAGCCCTCCCTAATCAGTAGGGGCCAAAACAGATCCAAGACATATTGTCCCCAAGATACAACAATGAGATCTGCTCCATGCTAATGGTCGGCCCCAATTACTATTTTTTTTTAAGCCTCTGCCACAATTCCTGCTGCTCCCTAACACACTTTCTTCAGGCCAAACATATTCTAATTAGAGAGTACCTCCACAGGACTAGGATGCCTTTGGCATCAAATTTCCGCGTTGGCAAGAAACCAGAGTAAGAAAGTGCTCCTCAGCCTATGAGGACCAAGCCCATCCAAAGCAAACAGTTCCCATAACTGTTTACAGCAGAACAAGCTTCTTCCTTTAAACAGGGCGAGTGTGGAAAATCACCCTGCCAGACTTTGCATGTTATTTTAGCACTTCTGAAATTCAGGGAGGAGGCCATCCCCACCAATAGATCCAGCCCTCTTCAAATGAGAAAAGCACAAGTTGGGAAGCACATTGAATACCCAATCAAAGGCTCTAGGGGGCCTTGTTGCTCAAAAGGCATGGGTTTTATCATAATTACTTAAGAAGTGACTATGTTTAATACCTCCACCTAGAAAATACCTCGTGCTCCAGCTTGGAAATTCTCCTCACTTTTCTGTGACACTACCAAAAGGAACTTCATAATCTGTCTGTTCCTCTGTATGTGTTGGCAAGACCAGAGAAGGACCTGGGTGAGTCGACTTCCTGTCATTGACTTTCACTGCTAGATCATTCCAGTTTTCTAATTAGAAATACATTATTGCTGTAATGCTTTGAAACAACTAATATTGCAGACAAAATTTATCTTTTTTAATATCTGTGAGTATTCACAGAACCAAGTCTGAAATTTGGTGAGCCAAAATAAGGCACCTGCATGATATACAATACCAGAGAAGGTAAGGGATATGGTGTATTGAGAGGTATAAGGAATATGGTGTAGGCAATAGACATGAGTGATTTGATTCTAAAGCTACATGGATCTGAACTGTGCTCTTTTTTCTAGTTTCCCAAGTGTCAGGCCTCCTTGGTACAAGCTCAACCAAGCCTTTACTGTTTTAAAATCTCAAGTGACTAAATCAAATAAAATAACAGACTATATTAAAAGTAGTGGAAATAGCAAAACAACGTTCAATTCTTGTTTATATGGAACCTGTTCTAGAAATAGGAACTACTCTTTTCAATACACAAAGAGAAAAATTGTCCACTTCAATTATCCACATATCACCTTATTAAAAGGGGTGGGGTGGGGTGAGGAAGGGGTAGAGCAGCAATCTTTGAGTTTACTTATGTTTAAAATAAATTTGGCATTCAGATGACCTGCAGGGGTTGATTTATGATTACCCAAGATCTTGACAAGGAAAGGTCCAAGAAAAAGGAAAGATCACGGGAACTCCTGACCTCACCCTTCAATACGTACAATGAAGAATGAGGAGGCCCTATGGCAGCATCTGCTTCTCTTTGCCCCAAAGTGAAAGGCTGAGAGTGGACGTCAGCTCTGCTGTCAGACTGGCTAATGTGCTGGCGTGTGCAAGTGGCAGCTGCACGTGCCTCCAGAAAACTCTCCTTCTCTCTACAGATCAGCTTTTATATTCCTAATCCTATAAACCAGGCTGCTGTGCACAAAACCACAACCTCTGCTCTATCAGTCTGGAAAGTAACAGCACCAACTCCAGAACCCAGAGCTATCGATTTGTTTATCGTCCCCCAAAACCCTAAAAACACAAATATGTACACCTTTGTATATATCTTTTAAATGTGAATTGCTTCAAATGCGAAAAAAATGTATTTTACTCTTTTACTCAAAAGTCATAACTTCCATTATTTTTTAAAGGAGGGGAGATAAATTGTAAAGAGTCTTGGATATTTTTTAAAGAGAATTTTAGTTTTAAACAGAGAGGAACAATGAAGCGACAATTTTTACAATTACAAACAGAATTTAGAAGTATATGCCATGCATATTTAATATTCTAATGATTATGACTAGCATATTTTTATTTCGTTCTGTTAAAACATTGATAGTTACTGGGCGAAATGGCATTTGCCCATAATCCCAGTTATTCAAGAGCCTGAGGCAAGAAGATTAAAAATTCAAGGCCAGCCTGGGCAACCTAGGGAAACTCTGTCTCAAAACACAAGAATTAAAATGCAATGTAGCTCAGTAGTGGAATACTTAAATGTTCAAGGTCCTAGGTTTAATCCCTAGTACTATGAAAGAAAAAATTCAATAGCTGTCTCCACTTACCGTGATTTTATACTCTCATTTGCAGAACATCATCATAATCATTTATCGATCACGTGGTTATTATAAGTCTCCAACACTGGGATTCTTTTAGACAATGTTGAACAAGAATTTCAATCATTTGGTAATTTAATGGGTATCCTCAGCTCTCTCTCTCTTAAGCTCTATTAAACACATCTGCCACGTCAAACCAGATCCACAAATTTCAGTTTGAGTCAGTTGTATTTCTTTTCTGTTTATTTATAAACCCTGCCTCCTTCCAGAAAGGATTTGAGACTGCTATTACAGTCATCACACCAGTCCTGAGTCCAACAGTTGGTAGAAACCAGTATTTCTGGTTCCTTACTGCCTGTGGAACCTTACAAGTGCTGATTCATGCCAATCAGAGACCTGTGCAGACTGGCTCAGATAACCCCCAGTAGAACCGGCCATTCTAGCTTGCTTCATCAGCCAAGAGTGGAGCCAGCCAAAGTCTTGAACTCTGTAAAGGCTATGTCTTTCTTATCAGTAGAACAGGCAATCACTTCCACCACTACCCTTAATTCTTCCAGACAGAAAATGTTCCCAACATCTCAAAGACATCATGTCCTAGGCCCTAACTATCAGCTGTCAACACAGTCAACATTATCACACTTCTGCCAGCTCCCAGGACACACATCCATGTTCTGTTGACAGTGTACTCTCTTCTCATCCAGACAGCTTCCAAGTCTAGTCTTGCCTGTCTTACAATCTGCACATCAGGAGCTTGATTTCCCAGGAAATCTCTGCTAACGGGCTGGATAAGTGGTCAATGGTTTGATAGCCCAGAGATGCAATGTTCTTTCAGAGCTATGAACTTGTCACCCCTCATCTGACTCTAGACAGTTCTCATACAAGAGCTTCTAGAGAAAGGAAAAATCTTATTCCACAAAAACTGGGATTGATGACCAAGGGGCAATTTTCTCTCTTGAACAAGAACTAAACCTTCACACTAGTTGAAACATGACCCTCTAGTCCTAGAATATTTTGATTTTTTGAAAATGTACCATTACTTACTAAAATAATATGACAGGAGAAGATATCTAGATTTGTTCCTAAAATGTTCTTATGGTTTTGAATTAGAAGATGCTCTTGACTTTGTCTCAATGCGATTGTGAAGTATTATGGGTACAGAACAACCAGAGCATGTCTGAAGCACAGGAGTGGCTTGACATACAGTTCCACCTGAGAGCTCTCTGATTCCCTTTTGCACTGGCCTGTCTTCCCACAGTTCACCACAGTTCCTGATGAAAGATGGCAGAGCTAACCTGTCCCCCATATTGTTCCGGAATTTCATTGTCCATCTCCCTATCCTTCTGCACTTTTCCAGATCTAACAGCATACTCTTCTCCATCAGCAGAGTGGTTTTAAAGATTTCAGAGAAAACTTTACCTCTCTAAATATTATTTATCCTCTACTGCTGTCAGAAGATCCTTCACCAAAGCAATTGTATGCACCAGACCAACAAATATCTGACACATTAGCAATATCAATAAATGTTAAATGAATTGATAAAAGAATTATGAATGAGGGCTGCGCTGTAGCTCTGTGGCAGAGTGCTTGCCTAGCATGTGTAGGCATTGGGTTGGATCCTTAGCGCCACATAAAAATGAACAAAATAAAGGTATTCTGTCCATCTACAACTACAAAACAATTTTTAAAACAAAGGAATGTATGAATAAATGATTCTCCTTCTCTTAATTCCTCTCTTTTAACTCTAATCCCCTGAGTAACACTTCTGTAACTGTAAATACCTACAACTATGAATATACTAAGTAAGGGTTTTTATACATGTATTGTCGAATTGAAAAGAGGAGGGCCCTTCCACTATAAGATAAAGTCAAATTATATCCCTCTAATCCCTTGCAGTGTTGATTCCACATTTAGAATTAATTTCAATACATAATAATAATTATCTCATTTTATCTCAATGGTATTTCCATTGTTCATTCTTTCACACAGACCATGAATGCTCTCACAGATGTCACAGATTTCTAGTGACCTAATCTTTAAGAGCACACAAGCTTTTAACAAAGGATGGCATAAAAAAGAAAGCAAGAAAAGGAAATAAAATGATTTTTTAAAGAACAACAAGGATGGCATGGAAATGCTGTCTATCTACATATCTTTCATTTAACCAGAAATGAAAAAAAAAAAATAGCCAAAGAAAAAAGATAGCACTTGCAATACAATGGTGCTAGAAAGTGCCAGCAAACAAAATCATGAGTTTTCTCTGCCTCTTTATATTCATCTAAAAGATCTCTGTTTTTCCATACCGTTTGGGGTCCAATGGGAACATATCTGCAAACGGGTTTTGAGAGTTAGAAAACAAGATAGAAAGAAAAGGTGTTGTCATTGCAACCTTCTTGTCTCCATACATATCAGCTGTTGCTCCTACTAAAGAAGGCAAAGGGGAGGTTTTCCATATCGCCTTATAACCACAGCACCATTGCTTCATCTTCAGCCATCCCAGACATCACTAAAGAAAAAAGCCTGGCGTCCCAAGAGAAGCACACACATCAGGAGGAGCAATCTGCCCTCCAAGACAGAGAAAAACCAGTGACTGAAGTAAGTGGCTTCACACACTAAGCCCTCTCAAGTGGAAACATCTCTGCTATTACCCATGATCCAATCCAGGCATCACCCAATTCTGGAGCCAGTGATATGTAGCTGCTATTTGTGGCATTGACAAGTGTGAATAGCAAGTGTGAAGACCAGCCACTCCACCAACTCAGCGAGGGGATGACGTTAGCACAGCGAGAGAGGCTTAGCCTCACCCAACGGCGCTCCTCTACTTCTTAGGTTATTCCCCTGACATTAAAGGACAGGGTAGTTGACCCAACAGGAAAACATGATGATCTTTATGTCTTTTGTTCTGAATACACCATCAAATTTTAAATAATTGATCTGGTTTTTACAATTCTACTGAAGTCACTCCCTTACCAATCACCTTCTAGTCCCTAAACCACATTCTCTTGTCTTTGCTCTCTTTGAGTACTCAGTTGCAATCCTCATTGTCACTTGATTTCTTCCTGAAATCCTCTCCTAAATTCCATCACACTGAGCTCTCCAGTGTCTCCCACTACTTAAGCCATTCCTCCAGGATCTTAATATCACTTCCTCTTCTTTATCCCCTCCTCTAAATGTGTTGTCCCTAAAAGTTCACATGTAGTTTTTCTTGGTAATCTCACCCTGTCCGCAACTTCTACTACATCCACATCCCTGGTTTCAAGATTTTTCTAACCAGGTTTCTACCTACCTCTAGGACATCAAAACCATTAGGTTTTGTTCATTTCTAACCTCAACACGTGCATAGGCAAACCTGGACTTTCTTCTGACTTCCATATTTCCATGATCGGGTCCATTATCTTTCCAGAACCCAGATTCTTGAAGATCCACACCTGATTCCTCCACCTAACTTTCCTTGGACACTCTGTTTCAAGTCACCATAGTATATTGCTTATAAGCTCACAAATAGCTTTGTAATTGAGATAATTGTGCATTTGGCTTATGTTTCCGACTAGTCCTAAGCTCCTTGAGAAAGACTGTGTTTTACTCAACTCATTCCACCTTGTAGATCTAGTGCAAATCTTGAGTTGAAAAGATAAAAGTGAGCTAGACTCAGTGGTGCATGCTTGTAATCCCAGCAACTCAGGAGGCTGATGCAAGAGGATCACAAGTTTGAGGCCAGCCTCCACAATTTAGCAAGGCCCTAAGCAATTTAGCGAGTTCCTGTCTCAAAAATATAAAATAAAAAAGGCTGGGGATGTGGCTCAATGGTAAAGCACCCCTGGGTTAAATCCCTAGTACAAAAAAAAAAAAAAAGAAAGAAAAGAAAAGAAAAAGTAAGAATGAGCATTCTTGGATGCATTTTTTATCTTCCACTGTCTTTTGTCATCTGCAGTCAACAAAATTAAACTATAATTACACTTAATCTCAATACTCTGAAGAAAACCACCAAAGAAACATTCTAAATAATACTGTAACATGCAGAGTTCATGCTGTATGGAATTTATTATGTGTGTGGCCCACATTTTCAGTCACTGGAAACACAAGGGAAAAAAATCTATATTTGGAAGGGACCCTGACATGTATGGAGAACCAAATTCATGTCTCTTATTAAAGCTATTCCCTTGGTTTGCTTCCTCAGTAGTGGAATCCCTTCTCCCTATAATTTTCTCATCCTGTTATTACTCCCACACTCAGTTATGAGAGCACTATACTGTTAAGAGCTACATTCAAAACATTGCAACTTTAATTCACTGAAAGCACACACCCCTGAGAGTGACTCAGCATTGCAAGGTGCCCACACTCCTGCTTTTGCTGATTGCTTCATCAACTCTGGGTTTGGTGTTGCTTGGAGTTCACTAAGCACAGAGGACAATTTTTAGGTTTAAGGTTTGTTTGTTTAATTTTGTTTGATAACAGAATCTGCACCATACCGGAAGGTAACATGGTCAGGCTTTCTGATTTCTTGACCTGTATTAAAATGCCAGGTGAATGGCTTTAAATCCACCAATAGGAAGAGAGCAGATGTTGGGTTTACTGTGGCCTGGGGCACTGAAAAAGAAGCTTGTACTAACCTGCACTCTACCATAGACAGCTTTAAGAAAAGTTGAACAAATCACTCCACTGGTCTCTTCTTACTGGAAGGGCTATAAACAGGTAAATGAGGCATTTGCAAGAGCACCTCATCCAACTCCACAGTTTTGTTTTGTTTTTTGATGCCCCTCTAGTGGACAGTATAATCATACATACATACCAATACCACTCATCTGTGAAAACTAACTTAGTAAGTCAATCAGGAATGCTACAAGAACAGAATTAAAGATGCATTTACAAATAAATGTTGGTTCATGTTTAATAGCTGATAACATTTCAAGCTAATGCTTGAAATTAGTTAAAACAGATCTCCCCCTGAAACAGTGCTATCAGATTGTTTTTAAAGAAGCCAAGTTCAGCTGGTATCATTCATCCGTTTACTCCTCCCACTCCCTACAATTTGAGTCTCACCCACTGCTCCTCCTTATTTCCAGCTCCTTCACACTCCCACATTCCAAACAACTGAACAACTCACTCTTTCACCTTGTGGATTTTTGCTTCTACATATTTGATGTGGTGTTTGATATGCTGATTCCCTGATTTCACTCTCAAATCTCAGTTCAAATGCCAAACTCCTAGACTCTCCTTCTGATCAGTCATTCGCTTTTTTCGTACCTGTAAAATAATTTTCATGGCTTTCCATTTTGCATTTTTGTTGTTGCTGA